TGGTACAGAGTGGGACAAGTAGGGGGTGATGTTGCTGTAGTCGAACGGTGAGACGGACGTGTAGTTCAGTTTTGGGCACGCGTACGGTGCTGCAGGGATTATATATAGGTGTAGTAGTACCTCTTCGGGCTCTTGTACACCTTTTTCTTGCTACGTGTGCGTGTTCTTTAGATCCTCAGATGGCTCCAGCACTTTCGTGACCACGGGCCGAGAGTCTTTGCTAGATTTTGGCATTTAGCAACTGGCATACGGTTTAATGTGAAATCAACAACAACAACAATTTCCCACTGTAGTCAGTACGGCCTTAAGAAATTGAGACTCGGAAAAGATCAGAAGCTAAGAACTTGAGCACAATTTGTAAGCTCGGTTGAGAACCCCACACTAAAACCTATATAGAGGCCATTTGTAGCCCAAAATAGGATGATCAGCAAAATAAGAACCCCAGCCTCGGCCGAAATTAGAGGTTCTTAAGTGCGGGCGCCATCTGTGTATTCAAGTAGCCTAAAATAAAACAGCAGCGAAGTACTTTCTTAAAACAGCAAGTTGTCAAACGACACTGCGCCATGTTCCCTGTGAAGGCCACATTCCACATAAAATGAAGAATTTATCCGCCTATACAGATGCTTTTGTTCTTAGCTCCAACTGGCATCACTGGTAACTCAGTGTTAGGCTTACACACACTCAAAATAAGCCAAGTGTTAGTGGTGCCTCGGTGCTCGGTGCAGAAGAGAATGCGGCGGAACTTGTGGCGGTTCGGGTGATGCAAGCGGCGAAATTACTCATGAACGCGCAGTGTGCAGTGTGTCTCTCGTTGCCTCATATTCCCTCGACACTACCACTGCCCTCCCTACGTCTCTCTCTATCTGTGCGTGTTCTCTGTGCCTCTCTCATTCTCACTCGTTATGTCTACTTCCGTGTAAATACGCGTATCCCGCCTGTCTCCGGCCGACCCGCTCTCTTTGTTCCCGAACCCAAGCGGACAGTCTGGGCTCGGTCGTTCATGTTGACCGAGGGCGGTGGGTAGAGTCATGGTGCCCCAAGATTCTACCAAGCACCAACCCGCGCGCGTTTATGCTGCTGAGGAATTAGGGGAAACGGACCCTCATTGGTGGTTTGCCCGGGCAAAATCTTTGGTAGTCAAATGGAGAAGGGAGTACGCTCCTGACGAAGGTGATATACATGCACACGATAAGAGTCAAGAAGCCATAACACAATGACGAATACCACTCTCTGCTGAAAGGAGAGCAGCAAGTTCAGGACAACGGCGACCAACCGTATTAGGACAGCGGCTGTAATTGGGGTGCGCACATTGACTGCAATCTCTAAGCAGTCTTTCGAATATCAAGTCAATGTGTTTATTTTCACGTGTTTGTTGATGCCACCGAGTGGCACCCCCGTGTTGTTCGGTTTCCCCAGATGAGGCCCTCGCCGAGGCGAGAGAGGCCTATAGGAGGTGTGCTGAGCTTGAGGGGCCAAGGGGAGAGAATATCAAGGTGCAAGCTCAAGTTGGCTTAGCTAGGTTGGACTTTGTGGTGGGCGACCCTGCTAGCATCCGCTCTGGGCTAGCTCGGCTCGCCGAAGTGTTGCGAGACCACCCCTACAGCCAACACATCGAGGAGGTGATCTACTTCCTAGCAATACCAGCTGCGTTCCCGCAAACAGAGCAATCCACCGCAACTGCAATGAGGGCTCTGGAATACCTCGACTACCTTCGAGATAGCTATACCCCATCAAGGGAGGGCGCGCCCACGGCGATGATGTATCCTAGATGGGACACTCCTGAGCAAGAAGTTTGCGATAGCGAGCGGGACGGTATGGTACCAGGGGATGCTGAGCGCTGGCAAGGCAGAGAACTCCAGGTGCATGGGTTGCCTGCATGGGCCCTACAGTTCCAGATGGGCTTGTTGGCCTCCCGATTGGGGGACTCTACTCGGGGAATGGAGACTATGGAGAACGCATTCACAAGCTATGAGGCATGGCTGCCCAGGTGCGACCGATACACTGCCGACATGGGTTCATCGTCCTTAAGAATTTCGTTGTGCGCTTGGTATAGACGCGCCTGATAGTCTCACCCATCGTAGTGTAGTTGCTTGCCAAAATCATCCACATCATTATTAGGGAGTGATCGGGGCGCACGGGGGAGATTGCGAAGTGTCGTCACCTAACAGCACATGGCTGCCGAATTTGTAGTTGTTCCATCATTCTTCGCGCGGTGCAATTGCTCGGGGGCAGTATTACGCTACCCTGCGCCTTGTGAGCCCTTGACCTGTTCCAACGTATTGGCATCACGGCCACACGCACCAATGCGCCAAAAACCAGGTCTCGAGTGCAGTTCAACGACGGCACTCCCGATGTCGACGCCGTCCGAAGATCGTGGTACCACGGGTTGCCACATTGGACTGCCTGGGTTCAACACCCAAGGTACTCTAGTGCGCTTACCACGCGCAACTGGATTGCTGTTTACGAGGTTCCTAGATGCCTAGGGTTTTGTGTGGCTTGGGTCGACAACAACGCCGCACGCCGGCATTGAGCACCTTGCGTTTTTTGCACGGTGCGGGTAGGACTCAGAGCAGCTGCAGCTGAAGGTTGGTAGGGTACCAATCAGGGTTATCACCCTCGCGTGACAAATAGTTGTTTTCCCGTGTTGGGTGATGTGCGCTTGTGCGCAGATGTTGCAGAGGATGTCCACCCCGTTCCAAGCAGAGTAGAGTGATCTTGTCAGCTGTATGACAGTGTGCTTTGCCGGATGAACTCCTTGCACTGTCTTGTGACTAGAAATGTTGCCCCCCCAATGGTTTGGATCACAGCGAAGGTTGGAGGGAGTACTTCTTCTGTCGGTGGGAACAGGTCACTCGGGGAAACATCAACAACGAAAGCAACAAGTTGTGCTCCGGGACACGTTGTTACATTTCCTCTCCACGGCCGGTCAGGCCCAGTCCGATTAAATGCCATTCTCAAAGAGAAACCAGGGGGCCCACTCACACCATCACGCGGCCGCATGTACTATACGTCCCTCGTGACCCCCACCGTTCAATTGAAAGAACATGGCTCGATCTTGGAGACATTGCCTACCGCCAGGGTGTAGGTTGTTTTCACGTGGCCGCCGAGGCGTACAGAGGAGCTCTGAAGAGGGCGGCGAAACTCTTTCCCCCGGATCAACAGGTGGGAAAGCGGAGAAACAGTCAAGCATAGACCCATGGCGTTAGTCATGAATACGGGCAATATTCTTCGAGGGTATCAAACTTGTTTGAAGTCCGCATCTGGAGGTAAAATTGTGTCTGTTGTTTGCCGTGTTGGGAGAAAAAGCAGCGCGGTCCGTTCCTCTCGTCATCTTGCGCAGGAGTCTATCGCTTTCCGCATCGCCAAGTGCTGCAGCCGCTGCGGCGACTTAGCTGGTGCAATCAGCGGTATCGAGGAGCTGCTTTACACCCGCAATTTCTGGAGCGAGAGATACAGGTATGATGTTTTTCTCAGGTCGCTACATGCAGTACCCAACAACGCTGAACTTCCCGTTTTCTGGGGACATCATGTATGGGTTACATCACAAAGTTGTACAAGATACCCCCGATATAGCTCAAGTAGCCCTTTGCCACTTAAGGACTTGACCGCGAAGCCCCCCTTTCTCTCCCCCGAAAATGCTGGCGTGTGTATCTCGTGCTTGTGCGACGTACTGGGGCTGTACTGCACGCCGTTCACGTTTTCTACGCTGTTGATACCTGTTTCGTCCCCGGAAAGGGATGAAAATAGGTTGTGACCGCTTCATCTCTTGGTGGTGCCATGAATTATGCACCCTGCTCCACGCATCTATCCCCCCGATGCTCACACGATGGATCCTTAGTGCTGTTGTCACACCCTTGTTGGCACTTGATTATGATGCATTCACTCCAACGCTATTCCCCATCCTCACAAAACACACCAGAAACCACCTCAAGACCTGGTCTGAAGCTTGGCGAGAGCACTTCAGTCAAGAGGATACGGCCTCCTTGCGTTTACAATGTTTCTGGCGTGTAACGGCCGCGAAGATGGAGCTGCACTCCTTACGGGCGCAAGCACGAGTGAGGTTTCCGAAGTAGAGGATGTGTTCCCAGTGTTTGTGTTTCCGCCTGTTTGTTTGCGTCAACAGCGTATAACAAACGTGCGGTCGTTATTTTCGTCCGTGCGCACAGCAATCGTAGGCAAACCGACGCGCTACGTTGGACAGGGGATCGTGGAACCCGGCATTGAAAATGCGAAACTTCAGAACACCTGCATTCGCATCATTCCTTCCCGTGTTGTTTGTCCGCGCTCGACTCCCGAAAAATTCACGTGACCATTTAGGCACACAAAGATGTTTATATACCATGGGCAAGTTTTTCTCATTCTCATACTGCTGCAGCCCACACCCGAAGGTTGTTTCAGGGTTCAACGTTCTGACGTGTTTCCCCGTACATTCGTGCATGCCCTGACCTCCCAGTTGGTGCTGGAGTACACTGAACTGAAGAGGAGAAATGTCTTGAAGCATTACTTCCAGGATATCTTGCAACACTGCCGCGCGAGGCAGAGGATGTCAAGGTTCGCGACTCTCATCCAGGCGAGGCGGTTCCTCCAAGCGTTCTTGGTCCCCATCCCCACGCCTACACCCATCCCTGTACTCTCTCTCTCTTCGGCAGGTTGGATTGAATGGAAGTAGAACGCTGACCCAGGGCATCATGTCTCGATCCCACGCGTTAAGCACATGTAATCGAGTTTGCAAAAAAACGAAGGCTCTCGGCTTGTAAATAATCATGTGTATACTTTTTCTAGAAGAGTCGAAATGCCCAACGCCGAATAAGCTGTTGCAACCTCTTTCAAAACAGATTTTGTTTGTAGTTGTAGAAAGATGTGTACACCATGTCGAACTTGTAGCCGGAAGCGCCTTGATTGTGCTCTTGGGACAGAACAACAACAGGCCCTGCCCCTCCCCTGCCCCTATGTTTCGGTTCCCCCGGTATCAGACAGAGACCCTCGCCCACACCCGTTTTTGTCCCTCCTGGCGCCGTGTCGTCCACCCATAGTGCCGGTATCGTATCCACAGAGCATGCGCTAGGGCAGTGATAGCTAGGTCCGCGAGGGACTTCCAAGAAGCCATCGTGCTGGCACATGCATCCAAGCTTATACGGAGCTTCCAGGTGAAAGCAAAACGTCGCGGAGTGCAACAACGAGGTGGTACTTGTCGCTAATGGGGCTGCTGCCATACTCATCCTTTTACGGACCTAGAGGCAATCGCACTCTAGATTTTGCTCATCTTCGGAGTTGCCAACACTGCTGTAGGGATGGGTTTACCTTGAGGTGGGTACCCCCTCTAGTTGGTAGACCTTTGAGTTACAGGTCATGACATGCAAAAATAGCATGCGGATCATTGAAAGGCTTCGACAATGTGAGTATCCAAAACACGTTCGTGCGTTTCGTCCATGATACGCTCAGGTCGTGTGCTGGAAGCACTGGGTGCAGCACCACGACATGGTCAGGTTGGACAAAGCGGCAGCGCAGATTCAGGCAAGGGTTCTATTTGTTAGTTTGATTTTGAATATCATGATCGAAAAAGGAAGTTATTACGCGTCTCGATTTAGACCTCCTTGCTACCCCATGCCTTGCATGGGGAGGGATTCAGACGTTCCACATATCCCCAGCAAGGTTGACCTTGCGTAGACGCTGCAAACGTAGGTCGGGCCTTGTCCATATGCGAATCTCGCTGCCTTATCTACTGGTAGTGCTGAGAATCCAGCAGAGCCACACCGTTGGCGCGCACCCCAGAATAACGTTCATGCCGCTACAGGGAAATTCTACCGCTATCAGTGTGCTCATGGTAGAAGCGTTCGTGCTTGGTGCAAGGTCAGTACGAGGCACTTACTTGACGAGACCACGGTACAACATATTGTTAATGTTCTCATCCCGCAAAACGTCGCGACACAGGCGTTGCTACGGGGCACCAAGGCTCGAGCAGTTGTCCGGTTCATTCTGGCTGCACGCCAATCGCGAGGTGATCAGGTGTATGGGACAGGTCAACACAGTGCGCAGACGTCATAGGTACCTCATGGTTGAACGGAGTAGTGAGCTGTGAGCTGTCGTGACTTTCAGCCGCTAGCTGTTTCTGTCTACCCGCAAAGAGGACGGCGTACGCATCATCGACGAAACAAACGCAGATCTTCTGGAACAGTTGGTGGAGAACATGCACGACAAGTGCCTCGCAAGACGCGTCCTACGGAGGTTGTCGAAGCAAGTCACGGTCGGCAGACGAGAGAGAGCGGCAACAACGGTTCAGGCCATGGCCCGCGGTGTCGTGGGGCGCGAGATTGCGTGTGACGAGAGAAATCGCCGGGCTCGGATTAACGAGCTTCTCCTGAACGCTTTGAGGAGACTAGGGACACCCGTCTTTCGAGAGTGGTACAAAGCCGCTCATAACCTTCGGAGGGTGAGGCAGAGGCAGGCAGAATCGCTTGTTCGGGTGTACCCCAAACCACGGGTTTCGTGCCCTGCCGAACAATACCTGTGTTTTGCTTGCACAGGAGCTCACGATAGATGTCAAAGTCAATCTGACACACGTGCACCATCTTTGACAGTTATCGCGCTGCTACTGGTATTTCCGCGGATCCCTCTGAAACAAGCCTTTGTCAGCCCTGTTTGTTTCAGGACACACACCTTTGACGCCATCTCCTCCTACGTACACGAACGAGCATATGCGCAGTCGCACATTGATTCGGTCGATTGCACAGCGAGACGGCAAGCACATGAAAGTGGGAATTATCACTGCGTCGTGTTTTGTTCTCGTCCTTCCGTTCATGCCTTCCCTTCCCCCTCGCCAGGCGCGAATGTCGATCAAGGTCCAGTCCCGCTGGAGAACGTTTCGAGCAATGCGTGCATTGACTTTGACCAAGACAAAGGTGAAACCAGACCAGCCCGTGTAACACCATAACGCCCGACCTTCTTTCACACTCACTACGTCTTGGCATAGTTCTAGGGCATCCGGATAGAATCGGCAGGCATAGCAAGAAAGGGCGAGTGGCGCACATGAAACAGTTTTCGGCGGACAAGTTGTGGCGTTTTTGTTGTAACCCACCGCTCAGCACTTGAAAATTCACCACATTGACGGATATGACAACAGGTTGACTTTCAGGAGGATGGATAGCACTTGGTCTTGATGGCGGAAGATGTGTGTGTTCGCGTCAACGTTTTGAGCACGTGCTTCCGACAGAAAATAACGCAACCATCTTTTCATCGCCTGGGAAAAAAAAAAGGTTTCGCGAGCTCACGAGATGGGGATTTTGGCAATCGGTCGCAACCAGCTGGCGGACAAACGCGGCGTCGTGGAAACTTGGAAACACATTGTCCTCGAGAGGAAGGTAGTCGCCGTGCAGGGCATGGCGAGGTGAGAAAGAAGACCGTGAAGGGTGGGGTGTTATCTCGATCCAGCCTGTTTGTGACGCTCAAGAGCGTCAACAGCCATCTACACGAACCTGTCGACGAACCTTTCTCTCACCCACGCGCTCGCGTGCCGAGACAGGGAACGACAGTGGCCTGAAGGATCGTTAACAGTGATAGCCTTTGCTATGGTGCAATGGTGCGTTTTCGTTAACGGCGATAATAACCTCTTCCACGCCATACACTAGGACGACGGTTGTTCGTGTTTTTGTTGTCTTAGTACAATGTAGAAAATCACCCACAAACTATGAGCGATAGAACGCAAGCTTTGACCCAAGCGTTTGCTCAAGTAGTCCCAACTAGGCTCATGTTGTTCCATCGGGAGGAAACTTTGTTGAAATGCTATTTTAGGTCCTTACAAACAGCAGTCCGGTGTCATGTTCACCAACAGGTGGAGCGATCCGAAGAAAAATCTGCGTACTCTCTGCACGTGTGCCAACTCATTCCTATACGTAACGCTTGCGCCCTCTCAGGATATGGCTAGCGAAGCGGGTGATGTCTAGACGGCGTGTGCGGCAGGAGGAGCTGCGAAGACTGTTCATGCGCGTGACGAAGCCTATCCGCCGCCAATGCTTCGTAGCCTTGGCGCGCAACAGGACCACTTGCCGCAAGAATAAGAAGGCGATGGTGTTGGTTATTCAGTGTTGGTGGAGGTGAGAAATTCAGGAGCCGTCTTTCTAGATGGTCGTTGCCGCCGACAGCAGGGCATCTGGTTTCCGAAATAGCTGTGCGGAAATGGACGTCTCGAGGGGGCGGGGTTGTACTAATGTTTTTGCATGCCTTAGTTGTTAGACCATTCGTCCTCCAGAGGATGGCGCATTGTTCCCACAGGACTGATCACCGATGGCTAATCGTTATTTCCTACTTTGCCAAAGGTGGCTCAAATGCCCTATCATATCTACCCTATCGATCTCATTTCTGGCCTATTCAATTCAGCCTACTTGTTATACCCAGACGTCGCGACGGGGGGGGGGGGGGTTTGAGATGGACACACATGTACGAGAGCATATTCCCTTCGCCTGTTCGATTGCCTCGCCACTCACTTGCATCTTTCACAAAATCGCGCGAAACCAGGTGCCGCCATGCCATCGGCACAACCCGTCGAGCTCGCGAGCACCGAAACGCCATCCACAGTGCCTACGACACGGTGGTCACGAATCATGAAAGGCGGTTGCTGATTCGCTGCTGCCGGGAGTGGAGAGAGAATATCCCGAAACAGAAGGCGGCAACGAAGATGCAAGCGGCGTGGAGAGGCTGGGAGGGGCGGTTGAGGGCGGCTTGGTTTAAGGACAGAGAAGTTCGTTTTGAAGAATTCGCGCAAGTCCTGCGGGCAGTGTGAGTATGAGAGGGATGTGGGAGCATTTCCACGCTTTTTCATTTCATCAGTCTTCGCTTGTATAGCACACAGTATCGCCACCACTTGTACACGATCTAACGTTCGTTTTTGCACCAAGGGTTCTTGCTATCTTGCAAATAATAATATACTGATTTCGTCCAGAACCTTGACAACAGCAACAAAAAACTTGTCGCCTTTCCATAAAAACATGGACATCCGCTCCCCCGAATCCCCTCCGTTGTGGTGGTGGGTTACAGCTCGGTGGAAGCACGCCCACAAGGTTTCGGAGAGTTGCCAATCGGAACGGTGCGCACGGCTCTGCAACGCTTCCTCTCTCGCTGAAGTTCCCCCGACACCCTCCAGTTTACGGCTGTAGAGCAGCACCTGCATGCTGCCGGGCTTGACGTTTGCAGCATGTCATCCGATGTATCCTTCGTTTCAGATCTCGACAGGTAGACCGCAAGGTGGCGTTCAAGGAGTGGAGAACGTTGGCATGGTTGGGCCGGATGACGACGAAGCTTGCGGCGCGCTACCGAGGCATTCGGGCAAGGACGGCATTTGCGGCGAAGATGTCCACGCTTAGACGACAACAGGTAATTTTCTCGTTTGGCGTCTTTGGCGCGTGTGATAATGTCGTTGTGGCCTGAGACACCTCTCTTCACTCATCGCACGCCAACTAGACGGTTAACTTGCTTTCCGCGGGGGACGCAAGCGCAGTAGATTTTCGCGCTGAGAACGCTGGGACGGTAAAGATTCCTCCTTCAAAAAGGATACATTTTCTGGACTTACACTTTTCTTGGTACGAGATGTGTGCGACTGGCACTGTCTCCAACGCAAACCACCAAAAGTAGTACCGCTCTGATTGTCAGCGCCGTCAACATCTGCTCACCGAGTGTTAAATGTTTCTATCAGAATTCTGTCGTCTACGTTGTCAACTATTGTCCAAACGTCCCAACAAACGTTTGCGCAGGGCGCTCTTTGTCGAGTAGCTGTGGCAAAGAGGAGGCTATACCTCGTTATGGGTATGCGCCTCTGGAGTGATCACTGCTACTGCAGTCAGATGTTCTCCGTTTTTCAGGCTCGGATCAGGGGATGGCTCGCCAGGTACCGGGCGTATTTACCCACGTGGGGGTGGTGGAGAGTAATAATCGATAACCTGCCTTGGGAAGCGTGAATGGGGGGGGGGGGGGCAGACTAAGACAAAACTGCAAAACGCGGCTGCACAGACTACTTGACCCTCATTCCATAGGCGAATCGAAACTGCGATTGCCTTTTGCTCCAGGATTGGAATCGCGGTAGGATGTGCTCCCAATCTTCATTTTGTCAAGAGCCACAGGAATTGCCAATGAATACTATTTTGGGGTACACTAGCCTACGGTTACCTTTAGCACACCCCCCCCCTAAACCTTTCACCTGTCAGACGGTAACTAGTGTGCGGTGATTTTCCTTCGCCTCATGATATCATCGTCTCTGCAAGACTTTGCGGGCGAATTCAGTTACTTAGGAATAGTGTGATCTCTGACCTAGCGAAGGTAGGCTACGAGACAACATACATGGAGGTGTTTGCTTCAAAGGCGTCACGTTTATCTTCGTGTTACTTCTTTGTTGACGCAGGCGGAGGCTAACAGCAACCAAGTCTTTCACCCGGGAAACGACCGAGATGTTCATCCTGGGTGGCATCCGGAACCTTGTTCAGCTGCACGCCACGTGTTGCACCAGCCAGGCCGCCTGGAGGGGGGTTCTTGCTCGCAAACGGTGCCAGCGGGTGAGTCTCTCCGTAGCGTCGAGTGTTCGATGTGGATCCCACCTGGCTGCGTAGAGAATAGTCTCGCTGGTCCCAAGCGGTACACGAAACTCCAGATATAGGGGTACATTCTAGCTTGGCATCATTCCTTCGGTAGACGTGACACAGCAGTAGGGGTTTCGCTCGTTGTGCTTGAACATTTTCAGGTGCAAGCGAGGGCTCGCGTTGTGGGGGAGATAGTTACCCGCGTAAGCGACGCTCGACGGCGACGAGTGCTGGGGGACACCATGTCCATATGGTGCTGGACGCACTCCACCGAAAAACGGATGGCCATTCGTCTCCAAGCCGTCTGTAGGGGTCGTAGAGGCCGGTAAGTTGCGGTGCTCTGCCCCCACATAGCACATCGTCTCCTCACATTAACCCGCAGCTTGCCCGTGCCCATCGGCTCGCACATGGACGCTCACTCAGCCTCGATGAGTGTGAGTGTGGGCTGCTTCACTAACTTTGTGGCGGTTGCAAGGTATCATGAAGGAGAACAAGTATTTAGAATGACGCTGAAATGGTGAGGAGGTACTTGTGCGTTCCGTGGCCGGCCAACTCAGGTTGACATGCCGATAGCTTCAATAACTTGAAACTTCGCGCTCATAGCCAGTACTGCTAGTATCAACCTCTCCTCACATTTGTAACTTGCCGAAATGGCAGGAGTGGTTCATGAACACAAAGCTTTACGGTTACCCCTTTCTTTTGAAGTCGAAGGCATGTTCTCAAAACTGTAGTTGACCTGTACATGTACTTCGTTGGCGATGTTTTGCCCGCCATTCAGCGCCCGAGCCTGTTCAGTCAAGGCCCATCAGCAGTGGAGAGACGATCTGGTCGTGAGGTTTCAGCAAGATGTGCTTCGACGACGAAAGTTGAGGTATGAGGATGTTAGGTCATTGATGTGGAGCTGATTTTAGCGTCAGCAGTATTCGCGCTCTTTGGTGTTGGTTGGTTGGTGTAGGGCGGTGGCAGTCGCGTCGACAAACAAAACCTCGTGCGTAAAGGTTCGTATTTTGGTGGATCATGTTGAAGCTTTTCGGACGACACAGAGCCGGCCATGCACGATAGCTGGTGGTTGCATATTTATGCTCTCAAACCAATCCGTAAGACTGCCCCGAGTTGATGGATAATTTTCGGGCAACTCAAAATGTATGGGAGCTTCCGTTCGCCTCGGAAAGACCCATAAATCCTCATGTCTTGCTGTAATCGAACTGCTCCACGCTTGAACATACTACCCTCTTCCACGCTGCATCGTGTCTGGCCTACTGTATTAATAGGTGCTTTCGGGCGGTAGAGGCTTGTTTGGTCGAAGCGTATGCCACGACTTTTAGGGCCTTCGCATCTGACAAGAGAAAAGTTACAGGTATGCTACGGTTCGGTCGAACAAACACCGGGTACAGGTATTGCTGTTGCAGGTGCCGTTCTCGTTCGGGTTGTGGGCACTGGGCCGCGCCACTACCAGTCAGGCATTCGCCCGGTGCACTACAAGGGTTATTCCTCCCGCGAGCCCCCTCTGCTGTTACTCGAGCTCCGCGTTGTTTCGAGTTCTCCCTACGATACAGACTATTCTCTTGCCCTTGCCCTCTTCATGCCCCTGCACCCCGGGAACTCTCTCTACGTTAAAGAACGGACACCGTATATTCAACGAAGTGAAACATTTTTTTTGCTAATCGAGTGCTGTGTCCAAGTCAATTTTCACATGTCTTCTTCCTACGTAAAACTCAGCGGTGCACGCAGAGAGAAGAATTCCCGGAGAAACTGCAACGACGCACGGGGGGGGCGCGTGGGAGTGCAAGTGAGTAGCACCCTTTGGCTGCAAACCTCCCTTCCTTGTAATAGTAGTCCCAATGATATATTTCCTACTGTAGTTCGTGGTTCGGGGCTTTTTGATTGAAAGCGATCACACAGACAGGCATTCACGTTGTTATTACGACGCGGTGAGACGTGTATCGGTCTCTCAGAGGAACCCACTATTCTAAGTACTGAATGTATGTTGACTTGTCCGGAACCTTGTCCACCACTGCCTCCCCTCGTCGGTTCTTCCAACCTCGTTGTCAAATACCAAACAGCTGTCCCTAGAGAAACACATGTGAGCCCCGACCTCCCCTCTCTGCCGTCGGATGCATGATTCAAACAGCGGGAGCTCGCCGCGATACCCAGACCACGCGCTGCCCTCGCTCGGCGAACCTCGCAACAGCCCGCAACCGCACCGCACGGGAGGTCAACGGCGGCCCGAAAATATGTTTTGTGAAGGTGACTCCCTCTGCAGGACGGAAACCTCGACGATGGCACTAGAGGGAGACAGCTACACCCGACGACACTCGCAACATCGATCAAAATCTTTTCGGGACCCCGTTCCCGTCGGTAAACAGCGGAGAACAGCAGCGGCAAGCCCAGGTCGCTCAAGCCGTGGTAGCGGGAAGGACGTTATTCGGCAACGGCGGCCCGTAGGGCGCGATATCGTCTGGGAGGCAGACAACGGTGGCGAGCGCGAGGCGGGAAAGTGTCCCACAGCTAGCGGGGTGTGGTTCTCCAAGTGGGTGGCCGCTAGAGAGGTCAGTCAGTAGATCGGTCTGTGAAACAACCGGTCGCCACGGACTCCATCACACCGTAGTAGACGCGATGCACAAAAACGCTTACCGTGTCAGATGAAAGACTTCTCCACGATTCAAAAACGTTGTCTCGTACACTGCTCTCGTACCCCATGGTGATGAAGCGAAAGATCGGGGTCCGTCACGTCTGCTATGTTTGTGTCTTACGTATCACGGCATCTGATTCTGCACGCTACATATTGCCGCCATTTTTGTGAACGGAGTTGCCTAAATATCTGACCTGCGTTGGTCCGCGTGTTCCGTTCCCCCGTGTGTGTTTTCAGCGCTCGACCGACTTCGTGTCTTCGGCGTTTTTCCGAGCGTTTGATGAGGTGAGCGATGGGGTTTCGAAGCGACGGTTCCAATTCGAAACACTTCGATGTGCGTTACACCAAGTTGGATTCAGTCTGCCATAAGGAGTAACAGCCGCAAGCAGCTTTGTAGTATCGGCGGAACGTCGGCACCGAATACAAGATCGCGGAGATAAAGGCCGAATGTTGCAAGTCGGTCATTTCACCTATTCCACTTGAGTCTACCCATTTTTGTTTTTCCGGCATCATGCTCAATAGGTTCGTAGGAGGAATTTGTTGCGGTGGCTACCAGGTCAGCTTTCGTGTCAGGAACTGTCCTTCTTGTGCCGCTATGCCAGGGTCATTGTTCTCGACCCCGCGCCGGCAGTGGAGGTATGTCGGATGCCAGTTTTTCCGGGTTGGATGAGCTAGTAGCATTTAACGTCTGTGCTAGAAGGCATTGATGGCTAGTGGCACGGAGGTAGCAGGGAGTGCCCATTTTTTGCCAGAATGGCTCTCTCTGTGCTAGAGGAAGCGCCTCTGTCGATCCTACATCACCACAACTAGCAACGCGTCATCGAACCGGCCTTCAAGTTTGTGTTAGATTTTCGCTCATGCTGCCATTCAACAGGAACGTAAACTGCGGCACAAAGGGATCCCTGTGAACTCGTCCTTCTGCGCTCGACTCCGAATGGGCAAAAGGATTCGCCACTACTCTGTTTTCTTGGCGACATGGAAAAATATCCAAGTATGGGGTTGCAAGAACGGTGAATATATGTCGTCCTGTATGTCTCATCTTCACCCTACAAATCACACACACACACCCCATGCGCGATTCGTGTGCCACAGGTGTGGAAATTGGTGGTGGTGCTACGAAACAAACTCTATAAAGATCCCACTTTCGACGGGCCAGAAACCGGCATCGCCACAAACGCCCCACCGACCGAGGGGTGTGGCCTGCCAGGTAGAACGACCCGCAAGGCCTGTCTGTATGGTAGAGCTAACCAGCGCTTTGTCTCGAAAAAGGACGTAGAGACCCGCGATAGGAGAGGTTGTCGAAACGTCCCTGCGGTATTCGTACGCGCACATTCCACCGCTTCCAGAACGCGGCCACGTCGTTTTCAGTATGTGACAGCATTATTAGCATCCCTATGTCGCTACTGTTCGCGACAGCTTCTGGCATAGGCAGACCGGCGGTTGTCCTCTGCAACGGCAAGTACTCCGGAGACGTTGGACAAACGGGGGGCGGAGCTGTGGCGGCCTTGGTGGATGGTGGGGTGGACGCGATGGTCTGCTCGCTCTGCTCAAGCTTATCGGCAACAGCGTGCTCCCTCGGCAACGGGGGAGCCATGGCAATCGCGAAAGCGTGCTGTGGCGGGAACCTGGAAAAACTCTGCCTCGACAACTGCGGCATCGGCAACCCCGGCGCAACCGCCCTGGCTCTCGCACTAGGAGAAGGTACGACTAGAAAGCCTTGCAGAAAGAGAAGGTAGGACTAGAGACCTTGAAGAAGTAGATGGCGTTTCGGTGTGGTGACGATGTCGCTGCCAGTTCGGAACGCTCAGGCCTCTGCCAACGTATTGATGATTCCTCGCGCCGGTACTGGCGACGATCGCATTTCTTTGAAAGGTAGAAGCGTGTTCGGCGGCCGGTGTGTCATACTGCTGCTGGAGAAGTCAAGGTTTTTCTGTCGTGTATGTACAGGGTTGACTCCGAGTTGACGAATACTTGTCTATGGCAAACGTTCGGGTTCTCACAGGAGCTACCGCTAAGGACACGCAACTGCGAAAGCTCGTGCTCTCTGGCAATCGCGTCGGGGGGGTGGTGGCGTGTGCAAGAGCCCTGCGAAATGTCCTTATCCGCAGGCCATTGGAGGTGAGTCTTCTCGAAGCCTATCGACCGAAACTCGTGGCAGGATCTCGCCCTTTGTTTTCGTCAACGCATAATTTGCAAGAGGTAGGAGAACACGCGGTTGTGTCGGAGTGTCGACCCCTACCGAGTACTAGGGTTTCTAGCACATGACGTGCGTGCCTTTTTTTACCGCATTCCCTGTGCAGACTTCCCGCGGATTCCATGCATATCAACTCGTTGCGACGCCGATATTGTGCAGCTGGCTACAACCAGACCACCAACTGGGATCCCTTCGCGTGTGATGGCTCCCACCATGCGCCGCCCCGGCCAACGCCAGGTGCTCGAGCTCTCTCGCTGTAGCGTTACAGATGGTGATCTGTCGATCATATCGAAGGGTCTCGTGGGTGCACGGTGCCGTCTCCGAGTCCTTCAGTTGTCCGGGAATATCGATCTTCGGGACCGAGGGGTAAACGGTGCGTTCCATGTTTCGCGATTGCCTTGTGGCGTTTTTTTGTGGTGATCGTAGCGACTACCATCTGCGTCACGCGTAGGGTCCGTTTTTCTGTCTTCGCTGCAGCTGCACAATTAGTTCGTTGCGTGTGTCGTACAGGGTGAAGTAATGTACAGCGCTCCATTCGGTTTTATTTGTGTCTTAGTCGGGCATCCATCCGCGCAGCACGGGTTGATGTCGTTAAGTAAGATAGAGACCGAACTGAGCGACAACATCCTCTCCGTGAAAAAGAGCTGCTGGGCAGGTATGCCGTCTTCGCTGCGACAGGGGACCTCCTGATATAGTAGCAGTCAATCAACAGTTATTGAAAATATGTGTTCACGTATTTCTCCTATGAAGGTTTCTCCTATGAAGGGTTGCGTATTCCCAGTGACTGTGATGGAGGGCTTTGTCAAATTTTGAGCAGCCGGAAATCATTCGACAATGTCCACCATTCGACGTATGGTTTTCTGCGGGATGATGATCTTCCCTCATGATGGTAAGCCCTCTATTGCAAAGAAAACGCACCGTGTGTGTGTCGCGATGTGGCATCAGCTTTCGAAAGGTGTGATGACATTATCGATGTTACACAAGTGCCGGTGCTGCTACCGGCGCCCACCGTGGTGCGCATAGCCTCTACACATCTAGCCAATCGAGGCGGATTTCATGCACGACACGTGCGAACTTAGTCCCCGCTCAAAGGGACAACTTGGTTCGTTCTATGCTTCACTCGTTGAATCCAGGGTTGTGATCTGCCTTTCTGCTTTGTGCCCGCCGTGCGCCACAGATCTAGCGGAAGCTCTCAGGGCGAGAAGCGAGATGTATGACGGGGCGTGTCAATCGTCTTTGCAGGTGCTACTAGAGTCAACATGATATATCCCTTCCCGCACTTGTCCATGGTGCCGTCACAATAACTGTATCCAAATACGCCCTTCCATACCTTTAGCCACAAGGGTGTTGTTTTGTGCCAAACGCTTTGTTCGAGAGGCGTGTTCTGGTGTGGAAGGCAGCCTAATGTAGAGTGTCGCGCGGTATGGGCAACCGTGGGTGTGGCCTAAAACATACCGGGCGGTCTCATCCTTATATGTCAGTGTTCATCTTGACCTTGACAACGTACACACGCAAGGTGGATCTACACGGATGCTCGGTCAACACATGGGGCTGCCGGGCTCTCGCCGCGTCTGTTTTGGATATTAACAACGAGGGCACACACTACGGAGTTGGTGCTACTGCGGTGGTGAGACTTGCGACATTTGCTGACTGTGTGAGTCGGTATCGCAAATTCCTCACCACGAAAAAGATGAGTCATGAAGACATTATCGGCAAAGCAACATCGTTGTGCATGCAAGGGAAAGAACCTCATCGGCATGAATGCCCGTACCGTATCACCAAAGTGTAGAGGTTCTGACGTCCTTCAAAAGTGAAGGCAGTGCACGACGGCTTCTCGGATCAAGTAGGTATTGTAAGAAGCTCGAAGCGTCAGGTGCCTGGCGAGTCGCGACACGTGCGACCTGAACAATGGTCGGCGTGACGACTCCCTGATACGAACGACAACCTCGAACGGTTTTAGTGCTTCGCCGAGCGGCGACTTCAAGCAACAGCCATGAGTATAACAAGCCATCACTCAATTGCCGCTGCGTTATCCGATCATTACCCTTTGGCCCGGAGTACGGATGAAGGGCCGCAAACATCAGACTAATGTCTGTGTCCAAACATGAGGGGATTTATCCAATCAAGTTGTCACCGACTGGATTATTGGATCGTGCGTGTTGTATTTGGCCGCGTTTTTGGCCGCACCGGTCTGCGTCGTGCATTCAACTAGCGTTTCCGATACTTTCCTGCCATCTGCGGACAAGCACATCGATTTCCAAAGCTTTATCGCCTATGCTAAATCAGCCCATCTACCACAACCTGAATCAAACGATGTGACCTAGAACCTTGCGCTTCCGTCTCGACCCTGGTATCTCTGTGTAAGACGGTGAACCTTGGGTACAACTCCATCAAGGATGTCGGAGTGGAAGCGATGTCCTGCGCGTCTCTCGGCCAGGATTACGAAGACCACAAGAAGCGACAGAGCAATGCTCGGCGCCAGAAGCACCACCAATCGAAAAGTCCGGGGGTTCTCGACGCCGCACGTGTCCACGAAGCTCACGAATTTGGGTCTGGAAATTTGGAGCTCCGCCGTGAACCAACAGGAGATTTGCCTCCTTTGACGGGAACGCCGTTGTATGCTGCAGCCACTGCTGCTTGGCCGGATAAACGGCATGAGGATCCCCGGGCCAAAGGCGCACCCCCTTGTTCGGTATTGTTGGATGGAAACAGAGTGTCGGACAGGGTTGCAGCTGGGCAAGGTGGTCTTGCGGGGCTGGGCGAGGCAGCGTTGTTTCGGGGGTGCGTTCTGCCGGAGACGATTGTCAGTAACACAGGTTGGACTAGGGGTTCGTTCTGGACCAAGACACCGGGGAAGCGTACGTTAGGGTCATCGCAGGGATGTCAAACATCGAACTATCTGGAGGGGAAGGTGTGAGTGGGACCGGGGCACCGTTAAACCGTCGCCGGGGAAGAGGAACCATGTTCAAATCTCGATGGGAGGGTGCAACGTTCGTCTCAAGTGCGAAAAGGTGTATATTATTGTCCCTCTCGAAACTCGTCGCTTGGACCGGGGATACGTCAGTGTTGCAAGGCGCTTCGGCCTGTGTTCTGGGGAGTATGCGGCACATTCACTGGAATTAGCCTCGAACGAATGGGTTCACTGATAATATGGATATATGTAGAAACTGCTGTGTGTTTTCATGCGTGTGTTTCGTCGATCCTTCGAGAAGCTCCGTAGTGAGACTCTAGGCAATCGAGGCGCGCGCTTGCCCAAAACCAAAACATGGAAGGCACGATTGGTGAATTCGCGTGCAACCTTAGACTATGTGTAGATTCTTTCGTTTAGCTGTAACGTACATTACAGCCCCAGACTACATTTTTATGTGCAACGTATTTTCAGCTGTAGACATGTTTCTCCTCTAGTTCTAGACTACTGTTGGCAACCAAAACGATATGTTTTCCTATGATTATATTCGATGGAAACAGATCGGAACTCAAACAGGTTGGAGTTGTAGGGGGGCTTGGGATTCATCCATTCGGGATTCAACGTGCTCATCATCACCGCGATGAACTTAGTCGTTCCGGTATTCGTAGGTCTATCCCTGCGCCCTTGTAGACCTCGTCGTCGATTGAACATCCAATTTTGCAATTAAATGTCCGTGTGTGAACGCCGTCAGATTCATGTTGTACGCATCCGGTATATTTGTGGACACAGCAGCCTGGGTCACGGCTGTCGTTGTGGTTGTCATTGTTGTCGTCGTTGTTGTTGTTCCGCTACTACAAAGCATATCTAGACTATACTGACTGTGCATGCAGGAGTCAACGTCGCTATCGTCATAGTCTACGCGCTTTGCACGCCCGGTTGCGGGACCGCACGCCATACAGCACGTATACGTTCCACACATCCACCTTAATTCCACGCAACAAACTGGTGCGCAGGGGCGTCGAGGTTGTCGTACGTCGTGTGTATTGTCAACTGCTGGCTTTGCGTACTAGTCTAGTCTTCTAGTTAGCTACTAGTTTGTGGAACGAACGGCGTATTTATTTGGGTGTTTTTGTTCGTCGACCTGTGGAAAAGAGGGTTTCGTCCTCGACAGACGTTGTGGGGACTTTCAACCTTTATGAAGGTGTTCTCCACATTACCCCCCCCTTTTTCGAGGCTTCTTCTTGTTTGCTAGGCAAGAGAAGTCTTCTTGGGGTAACCAAAACCCGACCGGCTGGCGGCGAGTAGAACCATCTTTTTTCCAACAATCTCCTGTGCGCGTGTGTGTGCGGGTGTACCACTTCCGCCACGCATTGCCAGAAGTTTCGAGTTCGATAGACAGTGCATCGTTTCTTGGCCCCACCCACCGTTTTTCTTTTTCCGTACTCCGGAAGAAAATTAGGTGAGTAGCGGGTTCTGAATCCGTGTCTTTTGCAACCAAAAGCAGACACCTGACATCTCTTGCCGGTACCATCGTGGGAAAAAGGGTTCGTCCTAGACAGACGTTGGGGACTTTCAACCTTTATGAAGGTGTTCTCCACAGACCCCGGATTTTTTTTTATTCGAGCGAAGCGAGATTTCTAATCTTGCCTGAGAGGGCTCAGCGCAATATAGGGGCCGATGCAGGAAAAAAAGTGCGTGCGTGTGTTGTGTTCGCTTAAACTAGGTTTTAGAGTACAGGACTTGATTTGTGACTACAGGGCGCACTTTTTTTTTTTACACAGCAGAGCAG